GTACTAGAGCTTCATGAAACAACGTAAAGCTCTTATAAAGACCATTAAAAAGACCTGATAAATTAAGACAAATACCATGTTCATAAACAGAATAACTTAATTTTGTAAGGATATTAATTTTCTCCCAACATTAATACATGGATTTAATGTAGTTCTAATCAGAATACCAGCAGAATTTTTTTTTGAAGAACTTGAAAACTGACTCTAATATAGAGAGAGAAATTTTAAAATTTTTGAAAGGCATGCCAATGTAAGGTAATTTTGAAGAAATGGAAGTAGAGGACGGATTTACTTTAGTATTAAGACATATTCCTAAGTCATCATGATTTCTTTAAGTATAGTGCAGCCTTAGGAACAAATGAATAGATCAGTAAAGCAGCTTAGACACTCCAGAAACACTCCGACATGTATAGGAAACCTGGTGTCGTATCCCAATTGGGAAAGGTCAAATTATTTGGTAGATTTTGCTGGGGACATTGGTTCACTGTATGGGAAAAGTAAAATTGGATTCCTTCCTTCACATCTGAATGTGAAAGACAAATTATAAAAGTAATCAAAGAAAATAGAGGGAACACCTTTGTGACTTTAGAACTGGGCAGGTTCTTAAACACAATCTAAAAAAAAAAAAAAAAAAAAAAAAGCCAGCCATAAAGAAGGAACATGAAGTGTTCAACTACATTAAAAGTGAGATTTCTGCTCAGAAAGGGACATCATCTGCACATTTAATGCACTCATAGACCGTGAGAAGTTATCTGCAACATCTAAAACCTGGCTGGTGCTGATATCTAGAGAAACTCATACAAAATAACTAGAAAATTTCAGGAAACCCAGTAGAAAAATGAATAATAACTATGAAAAGAAAATTAAGGAGGAAACACGAATGGCTAATAGGAGTGTGAAGAGATACTCAACCTCATTAGTAATCAGAGACAAACAAATTAAACCAAAAATGATGTAGGAGTCACACCCTTAAGATTGGCAAAATTACCAAGTCAGTGGACATCAAGTGCTAGGGAGAAGTGTAAGCAAGAGGGCCGGCCGTTCCAAGTAGCAATCTCAGTGCTCAGCACAGTTAACTATTCACCTGCCCCACACTCTCCGCCAGGCTATGCCCAGAGAAACTTTCCCAAGAGACCATAAGGATGCATGTATAAGGATGTACCCCATAGGTTTGGGGCTATATTGTGTGTGTGTGTGTGTACGTGTGTGTGTGTGTGTGTGTGTGTGCGTGTGTGTGTGTGTGTGTGTGTGTGTGTGTGTGTGTGTGTGTGTGAGTGACAGCAAAGACTTTGGTGTCCCTATTCTTCATCAGGAGGGGAATGGATAAGCAAGTGGCAGTCTATGCACACGAGGGTTCCTACGCCACAGAATGTAATGGATTAGCTTTACGTAGGACAACATGGAGATGTCCAAACGATCGTGTTGCATGGAGGAAGTAAGTTTTGGGGGCCCCAAACCATTTACGTAAATTAATCAAAACATATAAAAGTATTCTAAATATTTTATCAATTAGGCACACAGATCTGCATTAATGTATAAAAGGAGAACTGGGAAAACATATATTTCATCTACTAGAATGAGTACCGATGGGTGTGGCAGGAGAAAACATAATAGCAGGAAGCAAAAGCATGAGGAGCTTGCTCACGTTCCGTGAATATGAATAAATCTACTTCTGTGCCCCAGAAGTTCCAACTCTGCCCACCAAAATGGTGGGGAAATTGCTTTGTGTGCATTATCTCATTTAAACCTCACAAAAACATTATGAGGGAAGTATCATTGTTTGTCCTATTTTTGTTTTGAAGACTAAGGCTCAGAGAGGGTAAGGAACCTTTCATGAGGCCACAGAGCGACTAAATAGCAGGAAAGAGATTTGAAATAGGGCTGTGTGTCTCCAGTTCCTGTCCTCTTAGCATCATACTTGACCACCTGTGTTCAAAGAAAAACTCTACTGAAGTTCAATGTGGTAGGGCATAACAAAGTGCAAGTATATTAAATTATTGCACTCACATCTGAGTTTTCTTAGAATCTAAGATGTTCACATATACATGTTTATTTTTAGTTGACTAGCAGCACCTGACCAAGCAAAACAACAACTTGTGCTCAACAATTTCACAGATTCTAATGAAAAACAAAGCCCAAACCAAAACTGTTTTTTGCAGCCCATCTTTTTTTCATGATACAGCAACTTGTACCATTAGACTGTCTTTTCCCAAATAAGTTGCATAAGATTTTCTATGCCAAGTGTACAGTTACATAAGAGTCAAAGCCAATATAAACTCAGCACAGCATTTTGTTTCACCTTAACAAAAACCCCAAGAGCAAATTTACCTTCCATAATTATATTGGAGCAGAAAATGCAGTCTTGGAGCTTACTGAGAACCAAGTATTGATAGTCATAGCAAATGCCCATTACATTGTCTACTCTTGATAAATATTGAGTGGATGGGTAAAATGGATGGCTAGAAGGGTGGAGGATGGGTAGATGAAAAAGTGGGTGGGTGGATGGATGGATGGATGGATGGATGAATGGAAGGGTAAATGGAAGGATGGATGGATAGATGACTGGATGGATGGGAGGCTGGCTGGCTGGATGGATGAGTGGATGGACAAGGGTGGTTGAGTGAGTGGGTAAATTACATATGTGCATTCTTAGCTCCATGGCTGATATTTTTAACTAATGACATAACCTAGGTATGTCCATGAGGACATCAGCGTGATGATAGCATTTCAGCCTTCCCCCCAAAAGTGCCCTTGAAAATTTCAGTGCTATTTTAAGCTGGTATTTTCTCTTACCTTTCAGAAAACCTATGAATCTGCCAATGACTATTCCAAACATACAAGCATCTTTTGGGAGATGACAGTAGTTTGATTTAGTACAAAAGCCACCCTGGGGACCCTGAAGACTGTGGAAATTGCTTCTTGTTCTTTCTTCCCTTGCATTTTGCCAAGTCTTGGTGTTGGGGAGAAAACTTATTAGCTTAGCACAGCAGTTCTCAACCTGTGGGTCGCCACCCTTTTGGGGGTCGAACAACCCTTTCACAAGGGTTGCCTAAGACCATGGGAAAACATATATAATATATAATTACATATTGTTTTTGTGATTAATCACTATGCTTTATGTTCAATTTGTAACAATGAAAATACATCCTGCATATCAGATATTTACATTACGATTCATAACAGTAGCAAAATTACAGTTATGAAGTAGCAACGAAAATAATTTTATGGTTGGGGGTCACCACAACCTGAGGAACTGTATTAAAGGGTTGCGGCATTAGGAAGGTTGAAAACCACTGGCTTAGCAGAGTGTCAGTGCTTTCAAAAAAGAGAGGGCTACATCAGACCCTGGGCTCTGTTCTGTGCTAACACCCTGGGAAATGTGTCCCCTTGAGGCGCCCTTTACAGGTGTGGTTTCCATCTAACAGAATCGAGTTACACCAACTCGCTGCCTCTCTCCACACATTGAGCTTCTTTGCTTCCTTTACAGCATTTCCTACTCTGGGCAAAGTCACCAGAATTCCATATCAAATGCATCGATAACATAGACCAGGACTCAAGAGACCAGAGACCAAGAAAGAGTGAAAAATTATCATTTAGATTCCTAAAACAATCGTTTCCTTTTCCATAAAAGATTTCCCCTCTAGAGTCATTTTCACTTGAGCTTTGTCCAGCGCCATTAAGCAATGTTCTGCCTGCTCACAAGTTATAAGGAACTCGACTATAGATTCAGTAATGTAGATGTAGCTCTTCTTTTTTAGAAAAGAGAAAATGACTGTGCCATTTTCCGCATCACAACTGGCCTAATACAGCCTTCATTAACCTATCTGTATTGGAATGTATGAAAATACCAAAAAACACTTTAGCTTACAGAATAGCTTTCTCAATTCTCAACTGAAGGAGGACATTTCGGGATTATAGGATTATATTTTATGAATGCTGATTCCTGGCCTTGGATAAGGTCTTTAACCATCCTAAGCCTAAATTTGCTCATGTGTAAAGTGGAAAGAAAGTACTCACCTTACAAAGTTGTTGTAAAGATCCCTTCATTCAGTAAACAGTTTTTGAGAACCTACTCTATGCATACAATACAGTAAGTGCTGGCGTAGGACATAAGAAAACTGGATTCAGAGTTGTTCAGGCCCGGGGTTGAAACCTTGCTTCCACCACGTTCCCATTACATGACATTGGGAAATCACTAACCTTCCTCAGCCTCAGCTTATCCATGGAGATAATAATGCCTTTCTCCTGGTTTTATAAGGATTAAATCAGATACTACTTGATAAGACATTTAGCACAGTGTCTAAAGTATTAAACAAACAAGGACATTGCTGTAGGAAACACAAGATGGTATGAGCACACATAAGCCAGTGAAGTGTCTGGTACGCAGAAGGGACACCACAAATGTTAATAGTCCATGTCCCTGGCTACATCATCTCTTTTCCCACAAGTGAGGTCATTATCTAATTTGAGTGAGGCAAGGAAAGAGCTAGAAATGGACCAAAGAACCTACACAAAGCTGGAAGAAGATGCCAGTCACCGGCTACCTGGAAATCTCATTCTGGACTCTCCCCAGGGCAGGGAGAAGTACAATTGCATGCATTAGGAACTCCTGAGCTATGGGAATGAGGCAGGACCTACACAGGTAAATACCATATCCTCAGAGCATGGCTATGGGACAAACACGAGTAATTCTAGCAATGAGAATTCTCGGAAAGACAGAAGATGTGCTGTGACCAGACCCTCTTATGAGCTATGGACTGGAGTAGTCCACTGGCAACAGGAGGGAAGAGAGCTGATGTCATATTATATTATATTATATTATATTATATTATATCATATCATATCATATTACATTATATTACATTACATTATATTATTATTAACATGGGTAATACTAGTGCTGAACATACCTTCTACACTTGAGACTCTGGAAGTTGGAAAACAAGTGGCAAAAACCCAACTCAAACTGATTTAAGCCAAAAAAAAATTTATTAGCTTACCTAATTGATAGATAAGACTTCAGGCATGCCTAGATTCAAGCACTGAAGCGATATCATCACCAATCTGTCTTCCTCCAGTTCTTGCTGTTTTCCTCGGTTTCGTCTTTCTTCAAAAATGTGCTTCCCATGGAAAGGAAAGATAACCAAAAGGAGGTTTATATCTTGTTCTTTCAAGTATTCCATTCAAATGAGTTTCCTTTCCCCGTAGTTGTAGTAAAAGTCCCAGGATGCTCACTGGCTATGATTGGTCCAACTTGAGCAATGATGCCTTGATTGGCCATATCTAGGTCACATGCCCACCATGACACTAGGAATACATCAAGGCATCTGGGTCACCTGCCCTCAAAGGAAAATGGAGTGTTCCTACTCAAGGAGGAGGCTTGAATCTGCGGACAGGTAAACACCAGATATCCACCACGCCTTCCTACTGCTCTTTTTCCACAGAACATCTGAGACTGTATTCAGAAGTTAACCAATCTGAGATGACTCACCCAAGGATACAAAGAGAAACAGACTCAGAAATGCCATTACGACTGTTATTTACATGAAATTTATCACCCTGATTGATCACACAGCATTTGACCTCGGGAACACCCAGTCTCCAAGGGTCTTTGTTTTTGGTTTGTTTTTTGTGTGTTTTTTTGACAAATTGAAACAAGGTTTACAAAAACTAGCAGATACAATGGTGACTTGCAAAATGAAAAAAATCAACAAGAAACACAATTTGGTATGATTTAATAAAAGATTTGTTTTCACCATTTTTCCCAGGAACCTCAGCACATTTTCTTTCCACTGACAGTTATCTCTACCTTTATTGAACAAAGGCACTGGACACAGCTGCCAAGGATGAGTAAAGAAAATCATTCTTTCATTAATAAGACTGTTATTAGCAGAGAAAAAAAATAATCCATGTTTGGGGGTTTGCCCTGAACCTGTAGGCCATTTCAAAGAAATATGGCTGACTAGAGCCAACATTATTTCAGGCAATTTCATGATCAAATGTCCTATTAGGTTGTTTAAGATTTTTATAGAGATTGTAAATCAGAACTATTTTCTATTTGCCCTAAATATTTAGGTGCTATAAGGAAAGCAGATTAAATTAAAGGGTATTGTGCACATTTTTTACTGAGATCTCCCAGGGATATAAATCATTCCACTTGCAGCATGGACTCCTTCAGTAAATACGTTTTGAAAATAACATTTGATGCTCCTCCACAGCACTCATTAAAGGGGTGACTGGGGGAGAAACTAAGATGGCGGCATAGATAAACACCGGGAAATTGCTGCCGCTCACAACAATTGAATAATACCTCAGAAACACAAAACGGACATCATCCAGAACCACAGGAAGGCTGGCTGAGTGTAAATTCTACAACTAGAAGGAAAGAAAAGCACACTGAGAGCCAGAGGAGCTGCGGAAGTAAAGTGCAGAGGTAGGGGGCTCGCGCGCGCGGGAAGGGTCTGGCACCTGAGGACGCGGCTGTCTTTTTGAATCTGGAGGGAGTCACAAGCTCCTGACGGCTCTGAACTCTGGTTCTGGGAAGTCTCTGGGGACCCAGGACTCATACGGGGAGAAACTGGACTGTCCGGCAGCGGGCGATCTTGAGGGCGGCTTTCACTCAGAGGTGCTTGCAGCCGTTACTGGGACACTGAGACGTGC